CCCCCCCCCCCCCCCCCCCCCTAAATTTCATTCTGGCTACGCCGATGTACATACATCTTACTAACCCTGCAAAAAGTGGGACCATATTAAACCCTAGTACAGGACTACGCTACATTGTAACCAATACTAGTAACCAAAATGGTCCAAATATATGGGGAAAAATGGTGCTAAATATTAACATTGCGATGTCATTGGACCTGACCACATATGGTCCATCGCAGCATAACATAGGACCACTTAGCAAACTACCCTGTTGGGACCATTAGTTACACTGCCTACCTTAGACCATTTTATAAAGTAGACCTATAAGACTATGTAATGTACAGGTTACATCTGACCACTTCTTATTCTTGTCTGAGTGGATTATACTTTAGATTGGTTACACCAGGCCATGCTTTGGACTATTAACAAGACACCATTTTATAAAGTGGACTAGTGAGTCTATGCAACGACTTGCTTACACCCGACTACTTCTTATCGTTATTGATGCTTTGAAGTAAAAACAAGAGACAATATAACATTTTTTCCGAAAACCATAAAACTCATACAAAAATAAATAATTTATAAAGTATGTTTCATATCAACAAATTTTTTAATTTATTTTTTAACTATAATGTGTAAAGTTATTTCATAAAACTAAATTATTTTTATTCACTGATTTTTAACAAAAAAGGTTTAAAAAGATTTTAATTTAATTTTAAAAGTATAAACTACTTACTTAAAATATCTGAAATACTTTGAATTAATTTTTATGCCATTACTTTTAATCCATTTATTTCACTATATCTAACTTTATTAAAACTTTAAAGTTCCTGTTTTTAAACTTATGTAAGTAATTAGTTATTCAAATTTGTTCCCTGTTATTCTTGATATAGTTTAATTTAATTCATATTTATTACTTTATGATAAATTTAAATTTTTATTGTATATATTTTATATTCATGTTAGAATTTATATTTAAAGTTGTATTTATATGTATACTTATATTAATGTTTATATTTGTGTTAATTAAATTAGATATATTACTCTTATTTATATCATGTATTCATTAATCTTTAAATCGTAAAGAATTTGTTATTTGATATTTACATTTTAACTTATATTTATAGTGATGTATGTATGTATATATTTAAATTAAAATGATTAATTATTTAATTATTAATTAATAAATATTATTTGTTCATTAACATTTAATATAATTCAAGTAAGTGACTGAAAATTAGTTGTTCATTAACATTTAATATGATTCAATTTAATGATTAAATTAAATGATTGTAAAATAGTTTATAAAATTAATTTATTATTTTAGTTAAAATTGTATTGTTTTATAATGCGTTCCTTACAATTTAATAGTTATAATAATATTAATAATAAAGATTTCATTTGATTTAATTGAATGTATATTCAATTTAATGACTAAATTAAATGAATGGAAAATAGTTTATAAAATTAATTTATTATTTTATATTTATAATAATATTTTTATTCTATTTTAGGTTAGTTAAAATTGTATTGTTATATTATGCGTTCCTTACAATTTAATAGTTATAATAATATTAATAATAGTAATAATAAAGATTTTATTTGATTTAATGCTTAAAAAATAAATTTTAGAAATTAATGATAATTTTTAAACTTAATAATTAAAGAAAATTAATTTATTAATATGATGAAAAGCTAGTTTAGTTTTAAAAACATGAACTTGTGTAATTCAAAATTAATGAATTATTTAATTTGAAGTAATTGTACATATTAAATGAAAAAACTAAACATTAGTAATTCATTTTAGGAAATTTAAAGTAATAAACTTTGAAGTTAATTGTTAATGAAAATAAATTAAGCTTTGAATTGCTTCTAAGAATTGAGGAATAAAATAAAGTAAGTAAATAACGAGAAAGATGCATTAATTGAAATAAGTTAAATACTATTCAAAAATAATAGATTTCGAAGAGCATCCATTTAAGATTTTGCAAAAGAAACCATACGGAAGTGCCGTTTTTTGACGACTTGGAAAGACTTCCGTATTTCGGCTTCTGCATCGACCGAGGTTTTCCCAATGGCTTCTGTGAACATGAATTCGGAATATAATTTATTGTGAAAATTTAGTGTAAATCTTAATTTCTCTTACTTTTTAAAACGGTTAACACCTCGGGAAAGTCCTTAAGGCACTTTTTTCCTGCGATTCCATATATATTATATTGGAGACAAAAGCTTCTCCTGGAGCAAATATTGTACTGCTGCAATCTGTAATATAATTATATCAAGTCGTTTAAAGTGACCATTACAAACATTTTTAAAATATATTGAATATAAACTATTACGTAAGAGTCCCGGTTGATGTCGTTTATTTCACACTCTAATTTTGCAATGTCCTCATCTGTTTTAAGAGTAAATCGTGAAGCAGCGCCCTTTTCTTTGTTTGTCACCTGCTCCAAAAGTACAGTGTGCTCCGCCAGAACACCAACAACGAACTTGTTTTGCCTTTCGATTAATTCTGTAAAAAACAAGAGAAAAATAGGAGAAAGTGAAACCCATGAATATAACAATAAATATACCTGCTAATTTAGAGATTTTTTCGGAGAACAACTTTTCCAAGTTTTTACATCTTTCGCAGCCATCATTTGAATCGCGATCTAAATAATAAATTAGAAAGAGTATCTTAAATATAGTGATTGAAATATAAATATACAAATATTGAACAGTAGTAACTAACATACCAGTTAACATTTTAGAGCTCGCCACATTCATTCGACGAATTTCTGATGACTTTCCTCTACCTACTTCCGAATTGTTCATATTGTTAAGCTCAAAAATCCATGAGGAATACGAAAAACACACATAATGTTAAATGAAAAAATAAATAATTAAAAATAAGGCAATAGTGGTGAGAAAAAAGAAGAGTCTCGCCAAACTAATTATTAAGCCAGCTGAAGGCAAAACCTATGCAGAGGTTCTGGGAACGATACATGGTAAGCTTCAACCTGAGAAGACGGAGACCGTAATTCGATCTGTTCGGAAAACCCGTGAAGGCGGCGTGCTTATCGAAATGGAGCGCTGTGGCGACCACTCAGCATTTAAGGAAAATGTGTGCACTGCCATTGGCCAGCTTGGAGACGCCCGTATTCTCACTAGAAGTTTACGTCTAGAAGTTCTGGGCATGGACTGCCTAACCACGGCCCCAGAAGTGGAGAACGATATACGCGGACGCTATACAGGAGACAAGATGAATGGCCAACTTCGCGTCTCTCTCCTCGCTGTAAACTCGCGAGAACAAAGAATGGCCGTGGTGGAAATCGATGAACTGCCAGGCCGGACTCTTATTGAAAAGGGGAAGCTGCGAGTAGGTTGGATTATCTGCCGCGTCCGAGAGCGCGCGGATGTCCAAAGGTGTTTCCGCTGTCTGGGGTATAGCCACAACAAGTCGGCATGCAAAGGCCCAGACAGAAGCAGTTCATGCTGGAAATGTGGTCAGCAGGGCCACATAGCCTCTGCGTGTAAAGAAAGCCCAAGCTGCTACCTGTGCTCGGCAGGAGATGGACAGAAAAATGCCAATCACCTGGCCGGGTCGGGAGCGTGCAAGGCCTTCAGGGATGCCTTTGCTGAGGCTAAGACA